TTTCCTTTTTCAATCTATAATTATAAAATGAATTAATAGATTTCGAGAGAGTATTTTATACTTGGTCATGTTTTATTTTTCATGTTTTATTATTCTTTTTTGTTAATTATGTATGTTACTTAAATATCTCATTTTGTTTTGATAGCAGTAAGACAAAGATCGTAAATATACGTATCGAAAAATAATAAGAATGTGGAAAACTGTACTTTGCATCATGTGACTAACTTTTTTGTCTCTTAATCCTCCAACAGCACACATGGATTATTTATGTCCATGCCATTTTCAACAGTTCTTATTTCTCATATACCTGTTTAATTTTTAGAATTTTTTTCAAATCTTTTTTTCGATGTCTACATAACAGGATAATTCAGTAGAGATTTTAAAGAAAATGTGTGAATTTTCACAGAATTTTTCGATTTTAAAAGCCTCCAAATCGAAGTCAAACATAAATAATCCATACGTATCGCTCTAAAAAAAATAAGTGTGCAACGTTAATTGCGACGGAAGAAAAATGACAACTACTCGCGACTTGTCCAATTGCAATATCATAATTTGAACAACCTCCGCAAATTTTCCGAGAAAGCTTAAAGAAAGACCCACAACTTCTGCTCTAAATAGAACGTAATCAAAAATGATCGATGTTACGCCAGTTCAAATGCCCTTGCTTTACCTGGACCTAACGTAAACGGTCCAGTCTAATCGATAACGTTCCGAACTTTGACCCTGGACACATCTGTGCCCCGCATACAGAGAGATATCTCTTTCTCTGTTTCTCTCTCTCTCGCTCGCTCGCTCGCTCTGTCTCTTTTCCTCATCTCCCTTCAACAGAGCAACAGAGACTATTGCCCTGTTCCGCGATCAAGACTGGTTTTTCGGCGCAATGCATACGCGCGCTCTTACATCGCGCAAACGGCGACATCGGCGGCGTCGGCGGCGGTTCACGGCACCATTCCGCGCGATCAATATCAGCGCAAACGACGGCGGCTACGACTACGATCAACGAGGGTGACTACGATGACGGGGACAAGAAAGAGCGCGCGAGCGCGAGAAGCAGAGAGAAAAAGAGAGAGAGAGAGAGAGCGAGGGATAGGGAGAGAGAGGGAGGAGTGTTGAGCGAAGGAGAAAGAGAAAACATCACATACAACAAGCGCATGGTGCAATGCATACATGCGGCATGTATGAGACATACACGATGCAGTGCACGATGCAGTGAGGTTTGTGTACGTGCATGTGCGCCAATGTTTCGACGTTGTGTCCGGTGGGAGGAGGGGGACGCCAAGTGGGGACGTTGCCAGGCGACGGAAGCTGCCTGCCGCCGCGCGAGTTCATCGTCCTCCGTGTTCGCGCGCTCCTCCCTTGCGCCTGCACCGATCCGGCTATAGCCACCCTTCGTCCACTTCTTTCGGTTCCTCCGCGCGAGCGAGTGAGTGAGCGAGCGAGCGGACATTTCTGGCGACCCCGCCCCGTGGATTCACTCTTCTCGTTAACGTTCTCATGAATTGGAATCGAAGCCGCGAAGTACCTACCTCCTTGCCGCGCGTTTGGCTCATAATGGGGACGCATTGTTTTGGTGTATCGAGGACGGAGATTGGAAGGGTGTTCTCTCGGAGGCTTACCCTTGTAGACGATTTCAATAGATTATGTAGGGTGGCTCATCTAAAACTCCCCTCCTTGAAAATTATCGAAGATAACGATAAGATCTTTAGGCTTACTCTCTTCTCAAATCTTTTCTATATATCCACATTGTTATATGTTATGGAAATAGTAATTCTTAATAAAAGCTACGCAATGATAATATTGATATTGTCGTTAAAAGTTACGGAATAGGAGCCTTAATTTCATTAGTGGATCTTTTTTATTAATAAAAACGTTTTGAAGAATCTTTCTAATAACAAATTAATAAATATTCAAATAATCGCGCTTTGAAAACGCCATAAAAATTTAAATAAGGGCTTTAATAAAAGAAATTTCCATAAGCATCATATAATAAGCGTGTTACTGATAGGGGCATTAATTTCATTAAAAAGTTTAGAAGATTCTTTTTAATTAATAAATCAATAATATTGAAATATGTATAATATAGCGTTTAAAAAACCCCCCATAAAAATATAAATAATGGCTTTATAAAAGAAATGTTCATAAACATGATATAATAGTGATGTATTATATCCAGAAGAGTACATATTGCGAAGTTATCTTTCCTCGTCGTCATTACTAGCCAGAATCGATCGAGCTGTCCTCTCAAAAAACGAGAAAATCCAGTAAATAACAACATGACGTGCTAGGGAGGTCGATGCATTTTATATCGAGGGCAATAGTTCAGTGCACCCGACTCCGCCCCGACCTCGCCTTCGTTATTATCGTTATCATATCGAAATCAAACATGTAACGGATAAATAACAAACATGACGTAATAGGGACGCAAATGTGTCGGAACGAGGGAGCGGAGCAACGTTCGTCCTGCGAACCCCACCCTGTTTTTCGTTTTACCGACGTTGTAGATTAAAATCGGCTTGACTAAATAACGAGAGTCGTGAAATCCATTTCGTGCGTCAATCTCGATGCATACTTCCTTCGCAATTATCCAAGGAACACCCCAAATCAGAGAAAGTCAAAATGACTATTCTGACATCATAAAAGTCAAAATGATTCTTGGTTATAAACGTTTCCTGTTTAATGCGACGTTAAGAATCAAAATAATCATTTTGATTTTTGGTTGACTTTTATGTATTTCTCGGGTAGAGTTGAAAGATTTCACGTCACGACATTTTTACGTATAGTTCAATAATTGCTCGAGAGTGAATCGATAAAAAAAAAAGAAGTTATCGATCAATCAAGGGCAACGAGAAACTCGGGAAAAGGATGACTCATTCGGATAACTCACGCTTGCCGTTGCAAGCATTCGGTCGGTCCCTGTACAGCTGACAAACGCATATTATGAGCTACTATAATATACCAGCCCTCTCATCGATCTCGCCGCCGTGTGCCTGAAGGGGTTAAAACTAGAGCAATGGAGCTTCGCTCTACGTACCTCCTTCTCGTATCGACGAACCCATGCAGATTCGCGTGCGCATATAATGTCGCTTTCTCTAACACGGCTAAAATTTTACGCAGCATTGCGGTCCTCCTCTCTTGCATTTTTCTTTTTTTTTTCCTTTTTTTTTTTTCTTCGTATACCGACCTCGGCTTGGCTCTCCCGCATCCGTGTTCCTTTTGTTCGTTCATTCGTTTGTTTCAAGTTCGTTCTTCCGAGTTTTCGTTTCGTCATTCTTACATATCTCTCACGTTGTGCTCACACACGCATTTCTTAATCCTTTTCTCCGTTTTCCTTCTCGTGTGCCTTTACGAATTTCCGTACGATTTCATGTTCCGTTTCATTTCCATTCCGGTACGCCGGCGAGCAGCTTTGAGAAGCTTTTCGGGGCGAGACATTCTTGTACTATCTATTCTTCTCGCTTGACTTTGACTAGAGATGTTATTCTCTGTACTTTACGAGCACAAAGTACTTGCTCCACGTGGCAAATTGCGCGAGCGAGAAGGCACACTGTGCCAAGTGTTACGCAGATCTCATCTAACAGGTTTAACGACACTTACACTAATCTGATGATAAACAGGCAGGCAGGTTTAACGACACTTTGTGTAATTACTGTTAGTGTGACACTTTACGTAATTAATTATATTATACTGTCATGATGAAATGTGGAAAGTATATATTTGTGAAAATAGCATTTAAATTTAATTTTTCTTTAATTAGTAAAAAGCAACAATAATATTAGGATAGAATCTATTTTATTTATATATT